TGAACAAAAATAAATAAAATGTGCTGAACAGCAGGAACGGCAAGTCACTTCAGTCATGTGACAAGTGATCCGACTACTTTCTACTGGCTATTTACATGGCATCATAACATGTCTGACTGGGAAAGTTGGGGGGTCTGCACAAAAATACTTCCCCCATTAGAAACCAAATATCCTACCCTAACGTTGAGAATTTTTGTTCAAACGCCCCATGCAACGGCAAGTCTTTTTTACAGTTTCTCTCAGTTTAAAACCCTATTTTCTTACAAAAAAAACATTACACGGTGTTGTACTCGTTACGCTGCTGGCGCCGGGAGGGAGCCGAGTGATCGCGGCTGGTAGTTGTTGCTGGCCTCCTCGTTGACGGCGCCGTCCACGGCCCTCTCCTGCTGCTCGGAGCTGGGTGCGGACCTCAGGGATCTGTCGGCCGGGTAGAGGGGCGCAGGGTGAGTCACTGCTCCTCTGGCACGACACGACACCGTCACCGACATCCCCCAGCTTACCTGTCGCTTGCAGGCATGAACGATGATCCGAGCCCCCTCCACGCCCCCCGGTCGGCCTCTCCGAACTGCGAGTAGTCGATGGGCTCCTCGGTGAAGCCGAGCGCCGCGGAGGCCGGTCCGGGGAGGATGGGCATGTCCAGCCCGCGCTGCCGGTGGTGCACCCGGAGGTCCTCCTCGGCGACGTCGTTCACCACGATGCGCAGGGGGTCGTGGCTGCGGATGGACAGCGTCTCGACGCCGCGCCCCGTCACGAAGCCGTTCATGGGGGTGGCGGGCGCCGCGACCGCGGCCCGGTAGTCGCGCTTGGAGGCCACGTCCTGCGGCAGGAGGTAGGGGCTGCCGCCCTGCTGCGCGTCCGCCGCGTCGTCCACCATGCTGCGGTGGGAGTAGCCGCCCGCCATGGGCCCCACGGACCACGACTTGTCGTGGTAGTTCTGCTCCTCGCCCTCGTGCGCGTTCGAGTAGGAGTGCGAGTGGGACACCTGCGGGACAGGGAGGTGTCGGGCGCCTCAGGTCAGGACACTGCGGCGCGGGGGGCGCGGCCGGTAAACGACAAGGGGGGTGGCTCGTGCCCAGCGGGGAGGACAGAATGGAAGAGTGTGACCACACCAGCGCGCCAGCAGCGCCACCATGCAGATTACTCGCACTCTGGCGGGAGCGTCTTACAGCCCACAGAGTATGGTCCAAGTGAGAATCGAACATCAGAACGTCATCGGAACTATGTCAGAAATTTGATATCGTTCCCATACCCATTCGATATAAAATGCAATTCGCACTTGGGTGCGCGTATCCTTGTTAGAAAAGTTTCAAGTCACGCATGCACAGCGGTGGGATTGTTTAGTGGGGCCTGGCTCTGGCACGGTACGCACCCTGCGTCGTACCTGCGGGGACTTAACGATCTCCACTGTGGTCTTCTCGTGGTCGTGGTGCGAGAGCAGCTTCTTGAGGACCGCGACGCCGGCCAGGGTCAGGGCCACCTTGGACACGATGAGCGCCTTGCCGGAGAGCATGGCCACGCCAGCCATCATCATGGCCAGCTTGTAGGCAGCCATCACCATGATCAGGATGGCGGGGCCGGCCATCTTCTTGAGCTTCCCTCCCTTGCCTGCCGGCGCAAAACAGTTACAGTCACGTGGTCCTGGCGATGCGGCGGGATAGTGAGAAGGGGGCGGTGCGAACAGCTGATCAGCGACTGCTGAGGAAGGACTGTACATAGGAGGAACCTTTTGAAGTTTGAAGTGTTCAAGGTAAGTTCGACGTGACTCACTGTCTTGAACAACATTGAGAAGGGGTAGGCAATGTTAAGGGTAGTTTTAAGGTTAGTAAAGAGCAATTTTACAGGAAATTTCAAGAAAGAGGTGTGAGGAATGTTGTGAGGTTAGGGTGGCTTCCCGGACAGATGCAGAGGTAGAAGTCTGAAATATAACAGCAGAAAGGTAGAGTTAAAAACAAAACTTTTGAAAACGTTTTGCACATACCATCCACCTGAAAATTAGAAAACAAATCTGCCCATAT